AGGGGAGGGGGCTGACAGGCAAATCTTTTTAAGGCCCTTGTGATTCTTGGATCTTGCTGTTTTAGTGGAGGAAATTCCAGCTTCTTCCTCCAAACTCTTGTTCTTGGCAAGGAGTGTTGAAGTGGGCAGGGGCATCCGTGTACCCGAAATTGCCATCCCCCCAGTGACAAATGAGTGACTTTTTCCCCTAAGTCCTGCTGCTGCCTTAAACCAGGGGTGGAAACACCCCTCTGGATGCAAAGCTAGCAAGGCTTTGCAGCTTTGGGGGCCGGTGGCACCTAAGGGAGACAAAAGCATTGGTGCTGGCCCATTTGTGCTGGTTTGTGTTTGTCTGTGAGCAAGCTGAGGATGATTTTGCCCAGCAGAGTGCTAGGGCAGAGGTGGTGTTCAGGCCCCAGGGTCCTTTCAAGGGTCAGAGGCAAGCTGGGTGGCACCTGAAGCGTTCAGGAACGGCGCAGGAAGGCACCTGGGCTGCTTGTTCCCTACCATACCCCATCTTGCAATTACTGATGAAATCCCCCACAGGCAACAACCCACTCTTGGGAAGGAGGATTTAATCTAGAGGGGTGAAGGTGAGTCACAGCTGCTGTGTGAGAGCACAGTGTGTCTGCTGCTTGCTCCATGCTTCCTAGGTGTGAGAGCTGAGGCTGGTGATGGCAACCTTGGCTGAATTTATAGCAACTATCTCGCTCTGGATCGGCTCTGTAGAAATTGGTGAAGCTCCTCAAGGAGGTGGATGTTATTCAGTGTGTACAAGAGGCTTCTTATCTGCCCTGGAACAGGAAAGCACAAGGTTGTCCCATGGTGAGCCTGGCCAATATCCCAAGTGATTTGGGGCTGAGGACCGTGGGACATGACAAGTCTTTGCTGGGACTTGTCACATTGCAGGATACATGTGAGCCAACAAAGTCCCCATCCTGCAGGACACCAGGAGAGGCAGTGGCTGGTGATGGGTCCCCAGCTGCTGGACATCTGCAGCTGGAGGATGTCCACTGCTTTTCTCCCCAACAGGGTCAGCTGTGACAGTCTGCAGGGCTCCAGAAGGGGGTGGGAGGAGAACTGCTGTCCACCCTGGTTGTGAGTGAAAGCTGGTGAGAATGAGCAGGGTGGTGTGAAAGAGTGAGCGAACCCTCCTGAAACGGAGCAGCTGTTTTTGTGTGGGAGGGAGGGCCATGACATCTGACAGCCTGGTCCTGCCTGGGGGCGAGATGGGAAGCAGCAGCTCGAGAGTTTCTGCCTGCAGTGGGGCAAAGCAGGTCCTGGGCTGGCAGCCCTGAGCGTGGTGTGTTGAGTGTCCGCTGTTGGTGCCCGTGCCTTCTGCAGCACAGCTCTCTCCAGTGCCCTGCTGGGCTTGGTAGTAGGGTAAAGTCCCCTGCAAGGACCTCCTGCAGCTCACTGCTCTTCTCTGACAATCCTGAGCAGGTCTGCGCCCAGCACGCCTGTGAGACTGTCAGGCATGAGCATGTGAGCTGCTTGCCCTGAGACATACTTGTGAGGTTTTGTGGGGAGCTGCTTCAAGGCTTGCTGTGGTGGGGAGCTGAAGTTGCTGCCACAACCCTCCAGTCCACATGAAAATGTGCCCAGGACCACGTGTGACAGCTCCACCGGCTGTGGTGGGAGCTTGCCCCCCGCCGTGCTTATGGGTCCATCCAAGCCAGAGCTGTGCTGGACACGGGTTGTGGTCAGCAAGGCTTGAGCTGTGCTGCTCTGTGCCATGCTGCCTCCTCTGGGGGTTGCTCTGCCTCTGGGCCGTGGCAAGTTGTCTCCTCTTCGGTCTGGCATTCAACTTATCCATCTCCACATGGAGCATCCCAAATCTGACCAGCTCACAGACCTGGTCTTGTTTCCAGTCCCGTGCTGCCTGCTCTCTGGTTCATCCTGGATCTCTCCTGGAGTCAGCGGCCTGTCTCAGTGCTCTGCTTGCCTCCCTGGGCAACTGATTCCTCACAAGTGCTATCAGGGACTGCTCAGCTTGCTTATGCACTGGGGGATGCAGAGAGGAGCATCCTCCACTGGGATCCACTGCCTCCCCCCAAAGACAAAGCCTGGGTATCCTCCTGCCACATGGATGACAGGGGCTCACCCCAAAGTTCAACACTACTGTGGTCGGTCACATGCTTCACCCGTCCACCTTGTGTTAGGTCTGTGGCTTCCCAGCCTTGACCACCTTCCTGCCAGAGGCTCTGCAGACAGGCACTGTAGATGTATGTGTGAAGGAAGTGGGTTGCATGGTAAGGTTGTCCTTTCTTTTTTCACCAATAGCGTGACTACAGTCATTATCATCCTGGCTGCAGCAGTTGCCCTGATGATCGGGTTTGGTGTCTCAGGTATGTGACTGCTCAGGTTTCTTCTTGTTAGGTGTGGAGTGATGAGCTTCTGCCCTGTCTCTACCTCTGTGTCCCCAGCCCACACATGCACTGAGGTGTGACCTCGTGTGGAAGTGCCACCTACAACTCTTTCATGAAAGGCTCGCTTTATAAAGCTTATGTTCCAGATGGCTGAACTCCCCAGGCAAGTTCAGTTCTGGCCTTTCTCAACAAGGTATTGCTCCATGGCATTAAACCACAAGGAGCTGTGCTCTCCTTGGAGACTGTGAGGTTTTAAATAATGCAGAGATTTACACACACACCAGCTCAGGATGGGTTAGAAGACACCAGGACTTAGCACTCAGAGCTGAATAAGGAAATCTGTGTTAGCTCTTAATTTCTGTGGAAGCTTGTCAGCAGGCCAGCCCCAGGCTGCAGCAGCGGCCATGCACATGTGGAGCTCTGTGGAGCAGCTTTGTTTTACCCCAGGAAGTGAGTTCCTTCATACTTTCACAGCAGAGAGCAAGGCTATTTTTTTTGTTGTTGTTGTTGTTTGACTATGTTTTAGTTATCTGGTGTGTTAGCAACTGGAATGTTCAGCTCCAGCTGTTGCTCCATGGGAAGCCAGCTGAGGCAAGGGGTTGGTAAGTGTAGAGCAGCCTGTGCTGCTGGAGATGTAGCCCTGTGTTCTGTGGGCTTGGAGGCCTAAGCCTGTATGTACAGAAAGTCCTGCATGTACTGTGCTCCTTCTCCCATATGGGAGGAGATGATGGTATTTATTGCGAAGTCAGGCAGCATCTGGCAGTATGGGGCACATTCCCCTGCTCCCTAAGAGACAAAGAGTATTATGTTGCTTTGGTGTTTGGCCAAAATGCTGCCTCCTCAGGGCGTGCTAAGGGAAGGACTGCACAAGAAAGAGAACCTGGCTCTAGGAAGGAGTTAATTCTCAAGCTTGCTGGTTAAGATCTGACTTGAGAAGTGCTCTGTATCTCCAGGGAAAGGAAATGCTGACTTTTGTTAAACCAAAGAAAATGTCTGGATTCCAGTAAAGGTGAAAGAGCAGCCTCTTCTTTCTCTGCCAGTATTACGCCTTGCAATCACATTTATATTGCTAAAGGGAAGTCCTGACTAAGAAAAGGCACAAAAATCATGCTCTTCTGGCAGCTGCAAAGAGAAAATTCCCTGATACATATAAGTGAGCAAGAAAACACCATGCCAATTCTTCTCCAACAAGTAAGAGGAGACACTTTTTGAAGCACACTGCCTGCTAAAGAAAAGCTGGTGAGCTTTATCTTGGTAAATAAGCCATGGGAGATGGCCTCTGCTAGCAGCATTGGGAACTGCTGCTGGTGTCCTCGCGATGTGCCGGTGCCTGCTCAGCTGTGGGGTTGGTGCAGGGCAGTCGGGCCTTTCTCCATACTCAGGACCTCACCTTTCTCACACTGCCTCGCTCCCCCCTTGCAGGAAAACGCCCCATCAGCGTGACAGCACTGACAGCTCTGGGCAACATCGGCCAGCGTGGCATCCTCAGCTGCAGTTTTGAGCCTGACGTCCGGACGGGCAGCATAGCCATCCAGTGGGCCAAGGTGGGAGTCACTGGGCTGGTCCACAAGTTCCAGGGTGGGAAGGACCACCTGCAAGAGCAAGATGTGCTGTTTCGGGGTCGCACGGCGGTGTTTGCAGACCAGGTGGTTGGTGGCAACGCCTCCCTGGAGCTGAGGGACGTGCAGCTCTCCGATGCTGGCACCTACCAGTGCTCGGTCACCACGGCCAGAGGGAGCGGAGTGGCCCTGCTGCAGTACAGGACGGGAGGTGAGGGGCACAAGGGAGAAAATCCTGCCACAAAATGCAGGCTAATGCGGCTCGGTCAGACCTACCTGTGGCTACACCAGTGCTAGAGGCTGTGTGAGTGGCACCAGCTCCTCCAGCAACCACTGTCAGGCCCTGTATAACCCTGAGTGCAACTGGGTTGGTATTTATCTTATCTTTACTTTTGCAGAGGTGTTTATGGCCTTACCTGCTCCTTACACATACTTGTTCCATATTATTTTAATGCTCTCAGTTGTCTTTTGTCTTCTGTTTTACCACATGCAGTCTACCAGCTACATATCTGACTACAAAGAGCCCCTAAGAATAGAAATGGCTAATTGGTCTTATAAAGGTCCAGGCTTTTAAACCTGTTTTCACCTGTTAAAGATGAAAAGATAGCTTTTTCTCTCTAGAATTAAGATATAACTCCAGCCAGGAGAAGAGCTGCAAAGTAAAAATTGTAGCCTGTATAGTATGTTTTTTCCTATTTTTTTAATGTTTATTTTAAGTTTATTAAGTTTTTTCAAATTCCTGTCAAAGCACCAAACTGCCCATATCACAGTTACCTGAAGCATTACGTATTTGCTACAGTTACTCACCTTGTTATGAGTCAACTTCAAAACGCAGACACAGACACATTTTCACTTGTGGGTGCTTAATTGTTCTGAACCCTCCTGGCTTGGCCATAGTGTTCCCTGCTGGCACAAAGCAACACACTCTGAGCTCAGCAGTGTCTCACCTGTTTCTGTCACCTCTGGGTCTTTCTGGCACAACTGTGGCAAGTTACACTGACTATACAATATAGATAACGTGAGTCTGCACAGGTAGGTAGTCAGTGTTTTTCTCTCTGGCTTTTGCTGGCATCCCTGAGGTCCCAGCACACCCCTTAAGCCCTTGAGCCCAACAGCTCAAGGTGGGAGAGGAAAAATGGTCAGGCACCTCCAGGTCAAGGAAATGCTGTTTTAGGATGGGTGACTGCTGTTGTGGTGAGGCCAGCCATACCAGCAGCACGAGGGGCTCCTCTGTGCTTCAGGCCAGTCATGGCACGACAGCAGAAACCAGCAAAGCTCTTGAATGAGACTTGCTGCTTTTCTGCAGGTCCAGTCTTCTCCTTTGGCCCAGAAGAGCCAAAGCACCAGGCAGGGGGCACCAGCCTCTGTGCAGAAGCTTGTGACAGAGGTCTGGGAGACACAGCCACTTCCCATGTCACTCACAGGGAAGCCTGTCCCAGGAGAAAGGCACTACAAGAGCTGGTGTTGCAGGAATGTCTGGCCAGTGTTGCTTCACAGTCTCCTAAGTGTCTTTTCTGCCCTGTTCCTATGGGAAGCACTTTCCCAAGCAGTGAAAAAAAAAGCTGCTTGGCTCACAAACCTCTTGTCTTGCAATGGCAAGGATGGAGGAACTGCTTGGGAGTACAGTAAGTAACAAAAAAGCCAGAGGGCTTTGGCTTGTGTGTGAGGTGTGCTTAAGTCCTGTGGGACTTGGTCTTCTACCCTACCTTGAAACCTTGTGAATCTGCCTGGTTTTGTGTTGCTTGATTCAATATTAAAGTAATCCACACAGAACAGGCATTAGAAAGAACACGTGAAATGCTGCATTAAGTTTTATTTCCATTGAAACTGGTGAACTCTGCTCTCCTAAAAAGCTCTTGTTTCTCTTTACATATGTGCATATGGGGAATATGATGAACATACAGAAACGATGGCTAACAAAGTTTTATTTGAGATACTCTTGGCTTTGAAACACAGCCAAGTTTGCAATGGGCTTTAAGCTTTTTGCTTAATTCAGGGATGTTGGTGTAAACCTCAGGCCACACCTTAGTTTGCCCTCAGCCCTAGCAGTTGTAGACGAAGCTTCCCTTGGCTGCAGTCCCATTTAGCCTCAGAGTCATATCACAAAGACGTAGGTGTTGGTCAGGCTCCCTTCTCAGTCAGAGAAGAGGTTGAGTCTTTCCCCTGTTTCTGATAGCAGCAATAATTTTTGGCATGCCTCTCGCTACTACAGAGTAGTAGGTGCCTCCTTTCAGCCCCTAGTCTTCAGCAGAGGTGAGCAGAGTTGTGCCAGCTGTGGTTCCTGCCCAGGGAAGCCAGGCCATTCAGCAGACATGGGCAGTCTCAGGCCAGCCAGGTCCTGAGCCCAGGCTGCTTTGGGAGCCTGGATGTCCAGGAGCTCTTGGGAAAGGCTTAGCTTATGAACCGTGGACCCAACCCAAAACTGTTAAGCAGAATCACTTAAAGACACTAAAGCTGTCCCATGACCTCAGAAGATCTTGTCAAACTGGGCTGCCTGGTCCTAGGAGTCTTTAGATCCCCTGTAGCCCAGCTTGTACAGACCTCTGTCTGAGCCTCTGTGTTTGGTTTGACTACGCGTGCTGCTGCGACACCGGCAGCGAGTACCCGAGAAATGCCTGCGACTGGCCAGCAGCTGCACCCGGGCGTTTCATGCCCAGCTCCTCGACCTCTGCCTTTTTCCGACTCTCTCCCTGTTTTTCCCTTCCAAAGCCTTCAGCACCCCTAGGATCCACATGGAGAACAGCAGCAGTGGGAACAGGTTGCAGTGTGAAGCACCACGCTGGTTCCCTCAGCCTGCGGTGCGCTGGACAGCCTGCAGTGACGCCGGGGAGTCCCTGCCCCGTGCTGCCAACACCAGCTACGAGCTGAACGCTGAAAACACCACTCTGAAAGTGGTTTCCTTTCTGCACAACGTCACTGCTAACATCACCTACACCTGCGTGATTGAAAACAGCATTGCCAAGGCTACAGGCAACATCAAAGTGACAGGTAGTGTTTAACATCACCCAGAGACCACAGGCACACAGAAGAGAGATTAAACAGTGCACCTCCGTGTGTGTCAGGGGGTTCCTGCAGCACCACCTCCACTGTGTCAGTGCACAGTTTTGGTCAAGGAAGGGACTGAAATCCATGGCTAATCCACGCCTCTCTTTCTGTCCCTTGAATGAAGGAGGGGGGTCTGTGTTTGGTCCTGGTATTTCAGATGTTTTTCATGGTAACAATTGCTCCCTTGGAGCAGGGACAGAACTGCCAGGGGAAGGGGAGGAAGGGGAGGGAGGAAGGGGAGGGAGAAGGAAAAGGCAAAGGGGGACACACTTCAAAATAGTGTATTCCTTTGAATGTTAATCAAAGCAAACCAACAACCACAACTTTTGATACTTTCTTTAGGCAGGTCACCTTAGATCCCTTTTGTGTACCAAACCAGCAGACCTCTTTAGCTGTTACTAATGACAATCTCTCTGACTCCAGCCCACTCAGCTTATTTAAAAGGCCACCTTATTTACAAGAAAGCAAGCTTTCCAAAAAGCCTGAGTATCTTTTCCTCTTCTACATGACAGGGGTCATAGATATTCTACAGCAAAGGCTTCATAGCAGTGAGTCTTTAGCAGAAGTGGCAGGGTCTGTGTTTACTGATACTCAGAAAAATGGGGAGGAATAAATATAAACACTCATTTTGCCTTCCCTGCTGTGTTTCCCATTCTGATAGCCTCTCACTATTCTTCTGCTACAGATTTCAGTGTTACAAGGGCGACCAACTTGCAGCTGCGGAACCGGAATGCAGAGTCTGTGTCCTCCTCCCTTCCAGCCTGTGACTGGATGCTTCTGCTTCCCTTGTATCTGCTGTTGATATAAAGCCTCTGTAAAGCAATCAGAAACACTGCTGGACCTGAAGGTAAGCTTGGAAAGGGAAACTCATAAGCATACCTGCTCTGTATGTGTATACCCTCTTGTTGAGCTTGGTTACAGCAGCAGACCTATCTCAAACCTGCCAGAATGGGAAGATGTGTCTTTCCCCTGTGCCCATCCTTTCCCCATCCTCTGCTTTAGGTGACGCACATGGCTTGTTCCTCCCAGAGGTTCCCTGGTGGCTTCTCCCATCACTTGCTTCAATTAGAAAATCTTCTTTTACACCATCAACTGTCATCTTTTACTTGTCCCCTTATTCTCTTTTCCTTCCCTCCTTACCTTCTCTCTGACCCAAAAGACAGACATCTTGCTTGCTGCTCTGCACACCCTCTGAACCTTGGCTACAGCTCATGGCTGCAAGGCAGTGTGGACTTTTTCCTCTCCCTCCTCATGAGGCCTGCTGCAGTACAAGCCTTGCTTGCACCCGCTTTACTTGGACAACTCTACTGCACAGTACCTCCAGTAAACAGTACCTACTGTGGACACCCTGAACAGGGCTAGAGGGAGCTGCCAGCCTGAGCAGTCCTGTCTAGACCTGGAATACAGAGGGGTGTAGACAGTCAAAGTACAGGACAACTGCCTTTGCTATTCATCAGCTTTGGCTTCGGGTGGCAGGCTCTACAGGGAAACGAGTGCTGGAGAGCTACAGAAAATCACCTAAAAGGCTCATCTCTGTCCTTCTGTGCAGAACAGTTATTACTGTGTAATGGTTTGAAAACAAACCAGTGAGAGACTCCAAGTCAGAAATACAATTTAATAAGAAAAAAATAAAATAAAAGCAATAATACAAAGGAAAACCACAGACAGAGACAGAATATAACCTGATACTCTGTAGTTAGGGTGGTGGGAGCAGTCCAGATGAAACAGTGGTCTCGTAGAAAAGATCTGGTAGCTCTTGTCCTCTGGAAATCCAGTGGGTAAGGCCCCCTGTGCTGTCCTGAACCCCAGTTTATATCCAGGTGGGAGCACTTGGCTCCTCCCCCTGGGTGGAGCATCTCACAATGGGTTGATATCAGTCTGTGAGTCATGCAGTGGGTCCTTGATGGTCCATTACACAGAAATAGCTCCTGGGGGGGGCTCTGTATGAGTCATGGGGCGAGGCATGGATGGGCCCATTAACAGGGGGGACTCCTCCTGCTGGGTGGGAAAGGGGTTAACATCTCCCCTGACCTTGAACCTCTTTCCTTATCTGTTATAGCCTGGGGTGTGAGGTCTGTCCGGGGCAGCTGCTACCCATGATTTTCTTAACAGCCCATGAGCACTGACATAGAGAGTATAGAATACACAGTTTTGGTTCTACCCACATAAGGATAAACTGGTCCCAGCCCCTGTAACCATGACATACTGCTACCCTGATGGCAGGACACACTTTCCTCCCTCTTGGGCTGAGAACTTTTAAGAGCTCCTCCCAGTTCCAGAGCATATGGTAACACAAACATGAAGCCAGCTGATTTGTCTTGTATTATTATTTCTTACCCATACCAACAAGAGGATGCTTTGGCTTCAGAGAGTGGGGAATGTGATAAGGAGAGTTGCATAAATAAAGGAAAACCTCTGATCACAGAACAAGATGTTTTCTCTTATCTGAAGTAACTCAGTGACCAGAACTTTGATCATGGGCAGAGCCTCAAAGGACAAACAGGAAAAGGGTTTCCTGCAATACATCTGAGAACTGGACCTCGAGTACTAGCAATGTGCAAATCTTAATTACCCCCAAACAGATTTGATTAGTCTGTCTCATGTCATGTGATTCTCTGAATGTATTAATAAAACTGTACCTAGGAGAGCACGTTAATCTATCTGGCCTTCTCAGATGATCCATAATCAAACTCTGCTTCTGAAAAAGATGTGTTGAATGACAAAACTCAGATGGACTAGAAAACAGCCAACAGGTCTTCAACCTGCATGTCTTCAGTCCTATATGGGGACTGACAATTGCATTTCCAGTGTGAAATAGGAGGAACAGGCGAGTAGCAAGTGCTACAGCAGACAGTGGACTAGCATACAGAATGAGGAGGAAACAGAGAGACTAGTAAGATACTACTGGAAAGTTCAAGTTCAGAAGTAAAAAGTTATTAAACAGTTACAGCTATAGCAACAAATTTACCTTTTTGTTTTAAAATAAGTCTGTTAGTTGGCACTTCCTGTCTATTTCTGTAGCACTATCTGTTACTATGTTATATTACAGGGCTACTTTCAGTTGCTTTTAAATCAGAATTTAATAATCTCTTAATTTACATCACTTGCAGTCAACATTTTCCTCCGCCTGAGAGGGATATTTTTGGTTTGCTTTTGTTTTGTTTTCTCTGGGGAGGGTGGGGAGCAGGCTTCAGCAAAATCATACCCATTTCACAGAAAGCATCTACAGGAAAAAAAACCAAAACAACCTGTCACAGTAAAACTTGTGTAGACCTTTGCTTGAAGCTGTTTTGGTAACCTCTTTTAGGATAGTCTCAGAACTTTGTTGAATGATTCCATCTGTCAGGTCTTGTGCCACTTACGCTTTGGTGTTAGAAGTGCCCAGCAGGCCCTGAGAGGGAAGATACTTTACACATACTCAATAAATCTAACACCTAAGTTTAATATAAGGCTCAAATTAAGGGTGAAAGGGGAAGGCAGAAGGAAACACTGAACAAACCAACTCCAAAACAAAGTAGCAGCTCAAACACTCTGTCTGACACAGAATAAAGCAGGGAATGATGGAATAGTTTGGGTTGGAAGGGACCTTAAAAAATCACATAGTTCCAACTCCCCTGCCACGGGCAAGGACGCCTTCCACTAGACCAGGTCACTCAAAGCCTCATCCAACCTGGCCTTGAACACTTGCAGGGAGGGGGTATCCACAGCCTCTCTAGGCAATCTGTTTCAGTGTCTCACCACCCTCACAGTTACTGTGCGTGGAATTGACTAACCAACAGCAGAAGGTGAAGGATCTGGATGTTACTTAGCCAAAAGCAAGTGCAGAACACTTGGTCATCACTGCAAGCAGATGAGAGAGGAAGCTTCGAATGGTGATCTCCCAAGTGTTGTATTGGTTAGTCTCTTGTGCCACCCTGGACACCAGCATGTAGCACTGCATCATCCCCCTCCTCATCAGGAAAAGATGGGCAAGCCTTTAGTGTGCTGTGAGTTTGTACCACAGCTCACTGCCTCCCTCCTCTTGTCAGCCCCATGTAACATTCAGACCACCGTTTAAACTGCAAAACAATGCCCGTATAGTCGTACGATATAGGATCAGTTCTGTTTCCAAATAGTAACTCACTTCTCTTCTGTTCTAGGAGGAAGGAGATGCTTTAGAAACATCACTTCAGTAATTTCAATCTGGTTAAGAAGACTGTCTCTTGTGGCAACTGTAGTTTCACATGAAGACAGCAAATGATCTGCACAACACGTGGCTCTGGCTCATAAACCAAGGACCTACGTTCTGCCTCATTCCTCACAGAGCAAGTAAACACTAATACAAAAATAGATATGATAACATTTAAAATGTATTTTAATGGCTTTATTTAGTAGATACTACCACATAAAATACACACACTGTGTGCCATAGACCCAAAGCAACTGCTTTCATGTAGGGAGTATTGAACATCTCTCTTCCGAAATGTAGCCCAGGATCGCTGGTGGCAATGGTCCAGAATGACCACTCAGGAATTCCACAAGTCACAGCAGCTTCCTGATTGCACCCTTCACCCTGTGCTCACAGGCCAGTGCTCCTGCTGGGAAGGAAATTTAAAAAATCTCCTAATCCCAGTAGGTATTTCCACAATTCCTCTCCCACTGGGAGAGACGTTAAGCAGTGGTTCTCACTCAGCAGTGACTAGAGGTTCTCCAAATCTTCTTGCTGTTTAAACAGCTTAAGGCTTCTCGTTCCACTTCCTCCACGTTCAGGCACAGCAGGCTCAGCCGAGGTCCCACTTGTGACACAAACTCCACTTCACCACACCGAAAGTTTCTAAGCTGCAGTGGAGCTGAAGGGGGAGACAGAACCTGTAACAGCTCGGCACAGGGCTGCTGCTTGGCTCCAGCACGCAGCTGCAGGAGCTGCGGGGGAGGGAGGGCCTTGCAGCGGCTGCTCCGCAGCTACGCGAAACCTCAAAGGACACAGCACGATTAATGAATCCAGGATGTGAGCAGATGAATGCAATTGGCCAGCAGCCCACCAGCTTGGAGGAAACAGACATTTTACACTGTGGAAGGCTGTGAACTGTGCAGCTCACACCACTGATGTGCTGGGCTTCATATCTTTTCTCACTATCTGCAACCTGGCCTTACAGACAGTGTTACGATAGCCAATGGTAACGTCTCCACAGCTGAGCATCCTCTGGTGAGCTCAGCACACTGTGTTAGCACCAGCAGCTAAGAAAAATGTCCCCTTAACACAGCAGCTGCACAGTTGTGGCAGCACGAGCTCAGACATCAGCACCCATGAATTCAAAATTGTCCGGCACTTAAATTCTTTGGCCGTGGTGAGCATTTCCAGGCCTCGTCTTGACCCTACCTGCTGTCCTGTCTAAAGTCAAAACCCACTTGATCTGAGGAGTCTGCACAGTAACTCTGGCTGGCCAGAATCCCGTCCCACCCAAGGACTGGGAACATTGCTCTAAAGCAGCTCTATGCTTCTGTGTAAAGTAGAAAATTTAACATAGAATATTGCTGTAAATAGTGACTTTTATAATATTATTTCTGTATTTTTGTAACCAGGGTTCTGCTAAGACACACCTTATCTCTGCACTACAGATTTCACAATTCCATGGAAACCCTCCAAAAGATCTTGTTTTGTGTACAGAGAAAGCAGCTCTCATTTCCCACCCTGGTGAGACATCTCCTCCCTTCCCTCCCACGCTAAATATTACAAAAGGCAACAGTGCTTGCTTACCAGGCTGCAGGATCCTGGAGGGCTTCCTGTCTAGGCTGAAATCCAGCAGGATAGGGCGACAGATGAGAGGACTCCTGCACAGGCTCCTTAGGTAGCAAGCAATGAGATCCTCGGGTTCCTCTGCCCACTGAGGAAGGAAAGAGGGTGCTGTGAGTGACTGTGCAAAGGGGGATACAGGGGGCCACTGGAACACCCACAGCAAAGGAAGATCCAGCCCAGCTGAGGCTCAAGGCCACCACACTGCAGTCACCACTGGAATAACCCACTCACCCCTGTGCCAGTGGCTTCTCCATGCTGAATGGACACGCTGCCCCTGCTCTGCACACAGTTCTGCAGAGCTTCCCACTCGAGAAGGCTCAGACCCAGTATTGCTGCCACGTGCTGGTTCCTGCACAGCACCAAAGCTTCACCCGTTCCATCCTCCACCAGCACCCTATGGAGAGGGCAGGCAGGCTGAGATGTGCAGGGAGGTCAGGACAATGCCTGGCTCCCTCACAAGGGTCATCTCACAGACAATGGATCTCATCAAACAGAGAGGGAGGTTTCATCACATCTGGGAAGACAACACTAACTTCTATCTTTACTATTCTGTCCACATCCCGTCCTTGACCTGATTTGCCCCTTCCCCTCTGTGGTGTAATTTGTTCCCTCCTACCAACCTCCTCCCATACCCAGTCTCTACAGTGCTTACCGTGCACTGGCTTGCCTCACTCCTGTGTGGGATGGACATGGTGGACTGTGTCGGGTGCACCTCCCCTGAAGGAAGAGTAAAGCTATGTATGGGTGGGTATAAGGGAGAGAAGGGGAAGGGCCACTGCTTCTTTTCACCCTCCCCTAATTAAGTATGCAAAGGATGAGAGAACTTCACTGCATTTCCAATGAGTGTCTTGGGAAAAGTTTGTATAAGGGGGGAAAATCACTTGCTGTAAGGTGCTGAACCCCAGATGCAGTGAACATGGGAAAAGCAGAGCATTAACAGAGTAGGACTCTCCCTTCTGTATCCTCCCTTCATCCCAGTCCTAGCTGCCAGCCTGGGTGTTATCAGGTACATACTTCAAAGCAGTTGACACTTTAGTCCCTTTCTAACATGCAAGTCCTTTACACTGGAAAAAGGTTTTCGAACTGGTACACAAACTCTTATTTCTTCTATGTGATTGCTAGCAAAGGATGTGTTGGAGTAGCACATCTGCAAGGCTCCTCACAAATGATCTCTGTGGAAGCTTGAGTACCTCTTGGAAGATGCTGCTGCAAAGGGAGCAAACCCACTGCAGGGACAGAGTCAGCACACAGGACAAGTGGCACAAAATCCGTGCCTGGGGCAGGTTTTGCAGGTGAGGTTGCAAGTTGGATAGAAACACTAGTGAGGGGGACGAGGCTTCTCCTGCAGGACTAGAAGAAACAGGACTGTGAGATACTTGGAACAGAAAATTTCTTGAGACACTGAAAGGTAGGAACATAACCTGGACTCACCTAGAAGGAAAAGGAAGGTGAGAAGCTGGCAGAGATACGATGCTCACACAGCTGGAGGCAATGTATGTGCAATAAACATTACAGAATCTGCAATATGAAAGAGCAGATGTCATAAAGAGCTTGTAGAAACCAAACTGCTCAGTCCTCTTGGGATGGCTGGGCTGATCTTCATCTGTAAGGTGGTAGGAAAATAATTTGCAGTAAGGGATTGGGAGACAAGAAGGTATGGACAAGAGACAAGGAGAGTCTGCATGAGAGGAGAGATTAACAGATACTTAGAAAGACAATAAGAGAGATTGGAGCTGAGACCTAGATCAGGCTCTAAAGACAGGGGTACCTTGAGATTTTGCGTTCCAAGTTCTGGAACAGAATCTTGGCTCCAGGTAGCAAACCCCAAAGATGCTGCAGATAGGCGGCAGCAACGTAAACGTCCATCACAATAGGTGAGCCTGAAGCAACTGAGACACTGAGCTTCACACTGTGGTCACTGGCTAGCAGACTCCCTGAGGAGGCACAGAACCACACACACCATAAGCAGAGTAGCTCTACTCAAGCTGCATAGTCTGTCATCGAGTTGGACCTCTTAAAGGTGTTTTCCCTCCCATCACAATGGGACTATTGTTGTTCCATCTCACAGATTGTCCAGGTACAGTATTCCCATTCCCACCCCTAACACATATGCAGTGTGGTTTCCCAACCCTCTCACATGCAAAGGGATGCAACATCCTGGCATACTTCCACTATTCTCAGACATGGGAGCACAGTGAGCCAAGTGCACTGTCTCCCTGAAACAGAAAGCAAGAATGAATCTGTTGTTACCTTACAGGCTGTCTCAATCTTACCTTTCTGCTTTGGAAGGCCAGAAGTCATAGCTGGCTTCTCATTCTTGGGAGAGGCACACAAGGTCCTCCCCACTATCTCACCAGAGAAAGACACAAGGGAACCTGTGAAACTGAGAGTAGACCAGGATTTCTGTCCAGCCTGAAGACAAAGGGAGTGCAAGAGGTCCTGACTTCAAGACTGCCACACAGGACAAGGTGAAGTGGAGCGTTACTGCTTGAGCCTGGTTTCAGGGGAGCCTGTCCTTGAGTTCCTGAGACACTGGACTGAGGGCAGCATGCTGCAGCCTACCATACACAGGGACAAGAAGGCCCTTTAACTCTTCTGCTTCTTCAGGCTCAGCAGTGAAGAAGAAAAAAGGAGAGGCACTACAGCCTTCCTATCTGCTTAGCTCCTAATTGGTTTTCTTAATTAGAGGAAGAAGCCAAGTAAACAAAAAGTCAGTTCACCACACGGTGCTGGTGAAGATTTCAGTGTGCATGCACAGCATCCCAGATTAAACATGCTTTGAACAGAAAAGCTTCTAAGCATGGTGTTTGTTTGAGGAAGGTATACTAGAACAATCTAAAGACAACAATCCCCCACCCCTAACACATTCAGCCTCACTTCCCTGCTGTGCCTGTCCCCACTTCTGACAGACTTTAGCAGAGACCTTTGGGACCTAGTCCACATCAGTAGCAGCCCAAACTTTCTCTGGACACCATTTTGTGACCTGCAATCCCTTTAGCTTTGATAAAGAAGATGAGGGCAGTCCAGACTACTTGCACATAGGAAGATTCCCAAACCATACTCCCAGGGCAGAGAACTCATCTCTGTTCAATGCAGTGCTGTCCCCAGTACAGAGGAGCACAGACCCATTCCCCTTAGACACGGTCGCACGTAATTTGGGGCACACCAACGTACCTGTTGCTAAGTACTTCTGGAATGGAGGATATTCTCTGGTCCATGCCTGTCAGCACCAACCTGGCTGCCAGCTAGAAGCAGGGGAGATACAGCCTCAGATGGATTGCAGTTCATAGCTATCCCCAGCCAGAGCAGTATAGATGAGCTCTGCATGCTTAGAGCTACATCAACAACTCATGTTTCCTCCCCAGACTAATTCTAAGGCAGGAAAATGTGAAGCCCAGCAGCAGTCTCTGTGGGAGTTTAGAGCAGAACGGTCACATCAACAAGACATCCTGTATCAATAAATTTTCTGAGCTATTTCAGATGTCCAAGTTGCTCGTGACAGCCCAGAGCAACAAGGCACTGCATACCTGGTGCTCAGTCAGACAGGAGATCCACGTCTCGTGCTGCAGGTGCCAGGTATCCTGCACAGGCAGGCACAGGGGGCAGGACAACCTGCTCAGGAACTTTGGTGGCACAGGTGGATGACAGAGCTTGTCAAACACTTCCAAGTCCTGACAGAACAGAGATATGGCAAGAAAGAAGACTATTAAAGAAAGAAGATGAAAACTATATAGCAAAAAAGGGCCACTGAAGAACAATGGTTTAAAGGAAAAAAAAAAATCCACTGAACTCAAGAGCTGTGAGAATTTTAAGCAAGCACAGAACTGAAGCAGTTCCTTGACAAGATGGATGAGAATTCCAAGCTTTGAAAAGAGCTTAGTCAACCTCTGACTCCTCGACTCCCACACACAGTTCAGCAAGTCTCCAAGAGGAAATAGCAAGACAACCCCTATCTCTTACCGAGCAGCAGGGCACAATGAAGCGATACAGCCCATCCAGATGCAGGAATGGAAACCATCGTAGAGACTTCCCCATAAAGAGCAGCAGTGCCTGGCAGGGGAGGGGAGAAGGAGAGAGAAGGTGATGAGAAATGGTAGGAAAAAGGTAGGTAATGAAAAACAGAGCAAGAAGGCAGCATGCCCAACAGATGTCTTGACTGAAGGTTAACACCATCAAGGGTAGGAGAAGGCAGATGCATGTACAGGGAGGCAATAAAGAGGGGATGGAACTCCCCTGAGGTGGCACAAGGAGGCTGCTTGCATAAACATCCATCTGTACCTAACACAAAAATCACCTTCCCATTGATTAGTAATCTAGATACTTATTACACAGGTTCCCTGAGGAGCTAGCTCCCAGCCTTATTAGACCACACCCCAGAGCTGCGTCCTGCCTCACCTCCTGTCGTGTCATGCCCTCTTCTTCAGCACAGCTGGTCTCCTCCAGCTCTGGTAGATTCCCAGTTTCTCTGGGGTGGCTCCAAAGTCGAGGTCTGCCCAACCACAGCACTGTGGCCTGGAAACTGTGCTGCAGCTCCCGTCCTTCTCCATCTTCTTCTCTGGGTAGCTGGTAATTGCGCAACATAAGACCCTCCTTCTGGGTAACCCAGAACAGGCGGGACACACAGCTGGTTCTTCTCGTGCTGCTCTGGTTCCCCTGGTAGTTCTCATCTCTGTGAGTATCTGGCTTGGGATCCTCCAGTTTCAGCATTTTTGCCTCTGGGGTTTTGAGCTCAGATGTTAAGCTGCCTTCATCCTTCTTCCTCAAAGAGGAGCTGTTTCCACTCCTAAGGCCTTTCTGGATTTGTCCTTTGGCAGTGTGGAGAACCTGAACATCCTCAAAGTAGAACTGCACATAGACACTGAAATGAAAAATAGTAGCAATGAAACTCCCTGCTCCTGCCAGGTGGCTCTCTGAAGCAAGCTGTTAACTGGGAAAAGCACTTCTGGTGAGTGCTCCACTGATATTCAGCAGAAGCAGTGGGAAAGGGGTAAGGAGAGGGCAGCTGCAAGGCTGGGTGTATACTGAACAAAATGGAGATGGTGGGTTTGTTGCTGCTAAAGATCTCATTTTCTGCAAATAGCAAAGGACAGTTGCTTTGGCCCTGAAATATTATGCTGGTAAGCAGTTTTACCATAGTCTGAAATAGTTGTGGAACTAGAAAGTGAAGACTTTATTTGTGCACTGAATAAAGGGACTCACCTGGTTTTTTTCTCCCTCACATACTCCAGATTTGCCAGGTGTTCCCAGGAGGGAAAATCAGTTTGAAGGAACCTCTCCACTATGAGCTGGTAGTTTTCCACCTGCAAGAGCGATCCTGCAAACACACCCGAGAAAGCAGCTGAGCTAATAAAAAGAGAACATAAAACTCAGTTTCCTCATTTTAAAGTCACGAGGCCAGGCAGTGACAGTTTAGCATTTCTATACAAAGTCTCCTCTTCCTTGTTTTGGAGCTGGATGGCAGAACAGCAAAAGCTCAGCACTCTCCTAATTTAGCTTAGTGGGACATACCTATAAGATCTGTATGGGCAAAGGGGCTACCATCTTTATGGGATATCACACAGGGAAGTATGCTGCTCTTGTCCTGCAGCTGGAGGGAACTGGTCCTGGAGGAGACTCTCAGCACACCCAGTAGCATCTGCAACAGCAAGGAAGGTGCAAAGAGCGTTAAACGCTTCCTATTTTTGAAGGCTATAAAACAAAGTGTGCATAGCAGTAGCCCAAATTCAGCCTGTGTTCAAGATACCACAGGTGAGAAAAGCAGTGTTCCTCCTTGAACAGGGGAACAGGCCTGCATCAGACAGCATGACAGAAGGCATGGAGAGAAGCAGGAACCCTCAAGGCACAGACAGTAAAGGGAATAAGGCACTTACCACTCGGGGCTGAAAACTTCCCGCAGAGAGCGTGCAGTAGGACCAGGCCAGCCGGCGATTCAGCTCCTGGGTGCCCATGTGCTGTGCTTCCAAGGAGGACAGCAGCTGTAATGGACTGAAGCCTTCCCAGCTCTTCTGCTCTGCCAAATGGCAAAGTGCAGAGAGAGATGGAGCCTGGCATGGGGGGTTCAGGGTCACATACTAAGAAAAAAGAAAGAAAGAATAAACCAGATGAGTTCCTTCCCGTCAGATAAACAGGAATCAGCTCCCAGAGCATTTACTCACCTTCTGCAGGGGACACCGGTGTGTTTTCGCTAGGATTTCATTGTAAATATCTCTTGCTTCCTCTCTATAAGGCACCACAGCTTGCAGAAGCGGGACGAGGAACTTCTCAGCAGCTCCAGGGTTTCGGTGCTTAGAGCTAAGCAACAATCGCCGGTGCCCAAAGAAACAAGAAAACCTGAAAAAATTATAACAGTTAGAAGCATTAGCAGTCCTCACTTGCTAGTGAGTTTTCAATGTAAGTCAGGGATTCTTTCTGCTTGTTATGAGTGAATGTGCTGTGCAGGACAAGAACTAAGGAGAGCACAAAAGAAACATGAAGCAATTCTAAAAAAGGAATATTTAAGGGTGGTGCAGATTTATCTCAGACAAGCACACAAGGAACAGGAAAATATACAGAAATGGACAGACTGGCAAAATTTTGAAACTTCAGTGGATGAAAAAACAAACCACACCAAAATAATCTCCCTGTAAGTCACAGAAATGGACCTCCATACTTTTTGGCTTAGCTTGATATGATTACTCATGTTAGGTAGACTTGGCTTTCTTTTATAGGATGCAAAAAAAACACAAGACTGAAACAACCACAGACTGCTCTTGTTCCAATATTTTCCAGCCGTTATGCTCTTTTTCAAAAGTTTAGCTCACTGCTTTTGGATGCCTGGAAGTGATCATGCTGCCAGTCAAAATATCACTTCACAGCAGAAAATGAACTCAAATAAATATAAATAGCAACTAACTCAGTCATTGGAACTATTTCAAGCAGTCGCAGAACTTAGCAATCAATCACATGTAAAGAAAGTGAAAAAGCTAATAAAGACTGCCACTTACAGCCAGCATCATTCCTGAGGCAAAACTGAAGCTGTTTTATTGGAAAGTGTGGTAAAAATTCCACACTGCCAGTAAAGCATAAGACAATTAAGTGTTCTATAAATTGCTACTTGATTGCCTGAAATTAAATATATACATTGCAGTTTTTAAAGTCCATGACAGCAGTTACAGTAATCAACCATAATTATACCAGAAAAAGGACACAAACATTTTCACCAACAGAACCCAGAAGTGAACCCAGGAACTGGCCCACAGCTGTCATGTAAAATGAGTGCAGCCATCAGGGAGAGCAGGAGGCCATTTGGAAGACCTAGAGATAAGCACGTGTGGGAAAATCTAAGACAGAGGCTCTCAAATGAATGCTCACATTACTGGCAATACTCAGAATATCTCCAAGTGACAAGCTGAGCAGCTGCTGCTGCTCCTGTGAGCAGCCAGGATACAAGAGCCTTTATACTGGTTGTGATCTGTTTGTGGCAGCAGCTTCCAGTTCCAGCCTCAGTGCCCACCTTGATTTGCCAAGCAAACCATGCTGGAAGGCAGACCTCCCTATGGTGCTTCCATATTTCAGGACAAAACTTCCTAGGCAGAATATGTGAGCTCATGCTCTGGAGTGCTGCAGTTCCCCAAGAGCTGTGGGCTTACTGCACAGGCACTTGAAAAATGTCCAGGATTTTCTCCTAAGAGCAACTGCAAGGTACAAACAACTGGGCATGATGTGAAATCTATATGAATGGCTTACTTAGGCCAGTAAGCCAATTAGTATCCAAGCACAGTAATTTTGCGAACCCTTGGTCTAGAAGCCACCCTGGTAGCCCACAAAGCACATTTAGGCATAGCCCGACTTCAGCAGAACTGTCCTCACCTCTCCTCAAACGTCTCCAGGAGGCTCACCAGCCAGAGGTAGAGTGGCATACCAAGATTGTAGCGGAAGAGCAGCTGTAAGTAGAGATTTCCTGAGGAGGTCGGTGGCTGGTACGGGGTGCTGAGCCTTGAAAAACTCTTCAGCACAACCGTGCTGCTCAGGCAAGCACCAAGTACAACAAAAGGGAAGGACACCAGAGGCTTCTGCAGGATGTGGACATCGATGAGCTGAGATACACAGACACACAACTTAAGAGAGGAGATAACTAGTCTGCCACTGCTACCCAAAACCATCACTCCACCCTAAATCCTTTGTCACTTGACTGGATTGTCTATAAACCCAATGGGCCTCAGAAACCTGGCACTCTTGAGGGAGGAATCAGATAATAATCATTTCAACTCTCATGACCAAGACTAGACAGCAAGATCCCAAATTTTCTTCCAGATACTTAATTCCAATGTTCCTGTAGTCTTCTGCTGACCCACACACTCAGAAGCCATGACTAGGGCCCACGTCTTTTCCACTGAAGGCTTTATGCCTCGTTTTAACTTACCTCCACACGTGCTCCTGGTCTGAGTCCACGGGCAGAGTTTAACAACTGCTGGTAAGCAAGGCACAAGCAGACTTTGTTATCCAGTAAAAAGAGACCAGCTTGGACATTGAGTATTTTGGTGATAGTTCCCTAAACAGAAAGCAAACAAAGTTAAAGGAGTGTATTCACTCATAGGCCTGAGCGATACAGAAATAAATTCATGATGAAAACAGGATCTTGCAGGCCAGGAGCTGAAACCCTTGAACATGAGTGGATGAAGGCTAACCCTACAAATCCTTACCACATAGGAGATGATCTTGGACTCTTTGGTTGATCTTGGCTTTTCATCTTCAACTCCCAGCTCCAAGGAGCTGCTGAGCTGCTCAGCAGTCTCAAGGGAAGAAGATTGAGTGGATTCTCCTTGCCAAGCACTGTCCAGTGGCTGCTCCGTCACCTGCTCTACACAGTAGGGCAGAAGGCAGGAAGAAACACTGGTGACAAAAGTCCTTTGTCCAGATTTCTTCAGGCTGGACATACTCAGGCCTGTTATTGTGTACCTGTGACCCAGCTGGAGGATATGATGCCATGCCAGCTGGTTGGACTTCTAGAGCAAAGAAACCAAAAGTGACATCAGCATCTCCTGCACTGGAAAAAATTCTTCCCAACCCATATAACCCCAGCCAAAAAGTCCTTTTCCTACAAGAGGACTGCCTTAGTCTCATAGCAAAAGGGTGATATCTGCAAGATTTTCAGAGACACTGCAACTGCATGAGAGAGGAGGACTGTATTTCTGCAGGGCATAGAACTAGACTTCTTCCATGCCAGCACTATTGTAGACTGGGTGGAATTAATAAATAGAATCACTACTAAAAAGAAGACTAAATCACAATGAGAAGTCAAGGGCAAGCCTCAAAGAATTAATCAACTAGCACAGATATAAATGGTGAACTTGTGAGTACAATTCCAAGGACTTACCTGCACCAATACAGGGACCCAAACAGCTGAGGTGAAGCACTCCAGAAACAGAAAGAAGAATGTCTTGTGGTGAATACAAAGGAGAGGCCCGAGTCTGACCAGTTCACCTGCCACAGTGAGCTTTGATCTTTTCTTACATGGAACCCTAGAAGGCAATTGAGGAGGCAAAGGAAATCAGAGATGAAAGAAGATCTCAAAAGTTTGGCAAAAGCAAAATAAACAAATATGCAACATGCATTTTCCAGAAATATAACAAGATAATAAGGACCATGTCTCAGAGAGGTTTTCAAAACAATATTTGGCTACAAAATTCTTATTTCATATACTAAATCCCCTTGGCATTTTAAAAAAACTCAGTATTTGAAGGCAGCAGGGTTGTGAACAAATTCATGTGTTTCATGGCAACAGCCAGATTTTAAAAAGCTTTACCACAAATAAGAAGCTAATTACAGGTCAAATGGAAAAAAAAATAAGTCACAAGCAGTTCTTAAGCAGAAGAGAACTTGGCTTTGTAGGGTGCCCTGGTGACAGATAACACAGAGAAGGCAGAGTTACTGAATGCC